TAAAAGCAGGAAACCCCCCCCCCCCCGGCCCCCTCCTATTTTGGTCCTGACCCTAGGTGCATGCATTAGTGAATTTGAAATTTATCAAATAATATTTTTTTTATTTTAGAATTTTAAACTAATTATAATTTTACAAAAACATTTGATGCTTAAAAAGCTTTTATTTTGATATGCTTAAATAATTTCCCCAACAAAAGAAAATTTGTTAATGCTAATTAATAATCTTCATGCCAAAGCTTAAAGGAACAGTAAACGTAATTTCAAGTTACTTTTTTATACAGGCATTTCCGATTCACTATGATACCCTTGATAATTTTGTCTGATAAAAATCTTTTCTATTTGAAATTTTACCATTTTTAATTGTGGTTTTTCTGAATTAGACACAATGGAGTAAATGGTGAAAGCAAAACACAAGAAGAAGAGCGACAATATTTTTACATTATAAATTGCTGTGAACCGGACATGTCCCATCAAATTCCAACTATAGCCCATATCCTTACCTGTAAATAAACAATCTGTTTATTTAAATTCTATTTGAATTCCCCCCCCCTTCCCCCCGCCCAACCAATTTTGGCATTCATTGAAATTAACAATTTCTTTTGACGCATTGTTCAGTGGAAGCCCAATGACGTAGATATTGGCCTGGAAAGCCCTGAATTTATTGATTGAAGTATTCTGCTTAGAGACCAGGCTAATGTTTATATAGATACATTGGTTACTTAGGCATACATAGAGTTAAGGTGTACTATGGTCTTCTTCAACACTTGTTAATTTATCAGGAGTTATAGAAGTAGGAGAAGTGGAGTAGGAGAAGTGGAGTATGATAAGTGGAGTAGGAGAAGTGGAATAGGATGAATAAGCGTAGGAGTAGAAAAAGAAGGATTAGGAAGAGTAGAAGTAGGTGCAGGATGAATAAGAGTAGGAGTAGAAATAGGAGTAAAATAAATAAAATTAGGAGTAGGAGTAGGAGAAATAACAGTAGGAGGAATGAGAGTAGGATGAATAAGTGTTGGATGAATAAAAGTAGGATGAATAAGAGTAGGATGAATAAGAGTAGGATGAATAAGATTAGGATGATTAAGAGTAGGATGAATAAGAGTAGGATGAATAAATGTAGGATGAATAAGAGTAGGATGAATAAGAGTAGGATGAATAAGTGTAGGATGAATAAGAGTAGGATTAGGAAGTATATATGGAGAAGTTGGACTTTTAATAGTAAGAATAATTGGAGAGTTGTTACAGTATAGCCGAACAGTAAATAGCAAGAAAATAGCAAATTTTGCTAAAACTTATTGTATTTTTGTATTTTTGAGTTTTTGAGTTTGACAAATGAATCGATGGAAGAATTTTGCAGTTTATGGAAGCATGCAACAATAATTCCTACTTTTGTAGAAAAATATTATAAAACATTTGTTTTAGGTTTTAGGTTTTAATGCTCATGCCTTTATTTAGAGATTGAATTGAAAGGAACAGAGTTGATTGATGATAAAATACGGGCTGTATTAAATTAGTTAGTAAGTAAAAAATCATCTTCTTCTTAGAAACTTCTTTAACCCTAGCTATATGCGAACTATGATTTTAGTTTCTACAAGCTAAGCATTTTGGAAATATTAATATATCTATTCTACTTCATGCATGTACAGTGTACACTGCACTAATTTAGTACAATCGTCGTCGTATATATCAAAACAATGAAGACGACTTTCTATTTCAATTTTTGATTTCTTTTGATTTTGATTTAAAATCTTTTTAAGCAGCATGGATTCACATAAACATGGAAGCAAAGAGAAGTTGACAATTAATTCAGATTCTCTTTGTTTACTTGTAAAATTGCAAACAAAAAAGCTTCTGAGGAATCAAATATAATTGCAGTGATATAAACACCGATTAATGTACATTGTACAGTGGGATTATCATAACACCTGTACTCTGCACTTATTCAGTACACTGTACAGTGAATTTATAACAACTGTACACTACACCAATGCAGTACAGCGTAAACAATAGACATAACTCATGTACAGTGTACACTACACCAATGCAGTACAGTGTGAACATAAGACCTGTACAAGCCGTAGCCTAGATATTCACCGTACGGGCTCACCCGGGCCCAGCTCTCACTGTAAAGCGGCCAAACAATCAAAATTTAAAAACAAATGAAAAATGTATTATCTGCAGTACGGTACGAGCAGAACGCGTAACATATACAAATAATGATTTAGTGAAACCTTGTTTGAATTAATTTTAATATTCTTATTAGAGTTTACATTTATCTTATAAATTGATAAAAAAATCAATAATAACGAATCGCCTCAAATTCTGATCTTCTGAACCGGATTGTGTAAAATCATCGATATTTTAAATGTTAAATATATATGAACAACAGAGCCATTATTATGACATATCAACTAGGTGTTCGACATCAGGTTTCATATATATAAAGATTTGAAAGTTTTAGCTTGAGTCCCCTAAAAATAATTTGACAGACCTTCCCGCCAAATCCACGAGATTAATAACCGCCTTCTTCTCCATTTCTTTACCGGCATCGTTCAGCTGTTTCTGCACAAATCTAGGCAAAATTTATACCCATAGATTAATTAGCAATACAGATAGAACACTAGATGTCGTCTTTTCAAGATTCAGGAGTTTTTCATTCACAATAACCCTGAGGCAGAGGCCCAAAAGAGTTACGCGCATGCTCTCTCTCTGTCTTGTAATTCAACGCTGCCTGCGCGGAACTCCTTCGGGCTTCTGCCTCAGGATTATTGTGAACGAAAAACCATTAAATCTTGAAAAGACTACATCTATTGTTCTATCTGTATTGTTAATCAATCTATGTTTACGCCTTTCTCTTATTAAAAACTACAATAAAATCCGTCTTTGTACAGGGTTACACACAAAAAATGAGACTTCAGGGACGACTGTATGGAATTTATACGAAATTAATTCGTTCTTTGTACGTTCACACATTACACAAGTTATTAAAAACTAAATATTCAAGGCGAATGATTTTATTCAACCTAGAGATCGTAAAATTTAAAAAGTCGTTTTTCTCCTCTGTGGGTAACCCTGTAACTGATTCCAATTTTCTGTGGGCCCTGAAATTCTTTATATCTGGGTCTTGATATTGTCTGGGCCCTGGAACTCAATATTCCTGAATCTTGAAATTGTCTGGCATCTAAAACTCGATATATCTGATTCCAGATATTTCTGGGCCCTGGAACTCGTTATACCTGAATCTTGAAATTGTCTGGGCCCTGGAACTCGATAAACCTGATTCCAGTTATTGTCTTGGCCCTAGAACTAGATATACATGATTCTTGATATTGTAAGCACCCTGGAACTGTACATACCTGATTCCTGATATTCTAAGGACCCTGACTCACAATATGTATGAATCTTGATATTTTAAGTGCTCTGAAACTCCTAAATACCTGATTCTGGTTATTGTATGGGCTCTGGAACTCTTTATACCTTATTCCTGATATTGTATGGGCCCTGGAACTTGTTGCGTTCATGTTAGTAGAGGCAACAGTTCTAGAAAAAAGTAAATATATTAAAAAGCATTGATCAGTCTTGGTACGGACGATATCATTTCTTTAAAACTTTTGGGAAATTCTGTTAATTTACAAGAACCTAGGTAACAACATGCACACACCCCATTGTAGAGATGGACATCGTTTTTTTAGAACGAACAAAAACTTTGAGATAGAACAAAATGTTTGTTAGAAAAAAACGAACGATTGGACAAACGAAATGGATCGTTCAGATAAGTGAAAAAATTATCAAAAAAACAAGCGATATAGTTCGAACTGTCTTGATCGTTCATGAACAATTTTGTTCCATTTTTAAATGAACGAACGAATTTTACAAAAAATATTGAAAAAAATCTATAATTTTTTTATGGAACTAGCGGTTTTTTTCAAACACACTTTTTAAAACGAACGATTTTATTGAACGAACGATTTTTTATGAACAAACATTTTAATTTAAAGAACAATTTTTCTGAACAAACGATTTTATTGAACAAATGATTTTACTGAACGATTATTCAGTGAAAAAACGAACGAAATTAATTATTTTTTGAACGATAGAAAAAAACTAACGAAATGGGCCGTTCATTAATGATGAACAAACTAAATGAAAAAAGCCGAACTCGCTCATCTCTACATACAATTATAAGTAAACTGTAAAAAGGAAAAGGAATGTTAATAACCCCATTTTATGCCTTTATTGGATTTAGCCTTTCACAAGTTTGCCTGGTATTGCAGAATCGATCCGTTCAACTTTACAACTCATAGTTTTGCTAACTGTTTTCTGTTCAATAATACTTCAAGTTTACAGCTCATAGTTTGCGAACTGTTTTCTGTTTAATACTTCAAGTTTACAGCTCATAGTTTGCGAACTGTTTTCTGTTTAATACTTCAAGTTTGCAGGTATGGTTTTCAATTGTATTTCTGAGGTTCAAACCCTAACTTCAAAACTATTTCTTATTAAGAAATGTAGATTAGTCTGCAAGTAGGATAAGTTCAGCGTGTTTTTATTTATTTACATGTTTAATATTGGAGGTATCTCCGCTTAATCTATGTATATTAATTAGTAATCTCTGTTTGTCTGTTTTATTGTATGTCCGATCATAACGGAATTGTTCTGAGTGTAATTTCCTTGAGTAGGTTGACTTTTAAATGGAAACCTTAGATTCCAGGCAAAGCTGCGTTCCTAAGTTATACGTCTTATAATAGAGCAGTAGGGAAATTAAAATAGATGGTCATAATTTTAAACAACAGTAATAACGGTACTTTTCTTCCCGATTATAAGAAAATTAAGTGGTTTACATTCACCAGTAAAAATGTACATTAAATAACCTATACTTCCTTGTAGAGAGATAAATTATGCCACAAGCAGAGCTGAAAACTTTAGAATGGTGGATAACGAGATCAACGCTTGATCTCCTCTTTTTCTTAATCTCCTGATTAAATAATGCTCCTTTTCCTCTTGTTATTAATCTCCAGATTTATTAACCGATCGGGATTAAGGATATCCCATTCTTTAGTTTTCAGCTCTGGCTAAACTTCACTTTAAAATCAGAAATATTTCTAAGGAAGTTCAGTTTTGGTCTTCAGAAGTACGGTTTTAAAATTTAATATTTCCAACCTGTTGACAGTACCCTCCTCTATTCTAGCACTTATGTCCTCATAGCTGCTCACAAACACCTCTTTCAAACCGTCAGCTGAAACAAAATGGCGGAGATTAATATGGCCCTAAAAAGTTATGTCTATTTTCCAAAGTCGGTCTATTTTTGAGAATTTGGAACTTAAACTTATTTTTCTTTAAAGTTAAGAATGTTAGTGGGAGAAACATTTAATCTACAGCGATAACCAGAAAACAATGAAATTGAAAGACGACATTATAGCAATACTTAGGTGTATTTTATGTTGTTACATAGCAAATAGTTTTACTAGACTCAAATTAAATCACTAATTTAGTAAAAAATGGGTCTGTTTACACTCCACAACTGCAGTGTCTCATGCTCATTGAAATTTTAAAAACTATTAACTTGATTCTTAAAGTCGTCTTTCTTTATCAGAATTTTTTTTCCAAATAATCTAAAGTTTAAAACCAAACTAACCGTAGAATCCTCGTTTTGGATTTTCTCTGATCTTGAGAGTTGTTGGTTTGGATCCTGGTTTAGTTGGAACTAGGAGATCTCGAGCCTGCTCATTATAGATCTCTAGCATACTAAACTTCACCTAGAAACATAAATTCAGAGGTAAGAACTTTTAAATGATAATCTCGCATTGGTAAACTTCTTTAATAACCATGGTCTATAATCTATCAACAAATCGGTTATCATCCAATCCGAGCAATTAAGATGGTTGAAATAGAATCAGCCGGTCAACTGTTGCAACTTTATATATATAAAGTTGTAATTCCTGTTTGTCTTTCTGTCTGTTTGTTTGTCCTATCATAACCCAAAAAGCCCTGGACCGATTTGCCTCAAATTTTAATAGGACATTCGGAAGACCAACGGAAATGCTTTTAGCTTGGTTTTGAGATTATAAGTTAAGTTTGTCAGCTTTAATAACGGTAATTTAGTTTCCTTGTAAAATCGTTCAAGTGCGGGTAAAGGGCGGGAGTAACTTTTAGTAACCTTGGCAGCGCTGGATTCCCAGGCTAGTGCTAAATAAACTTATAAATTAAAAGTCTCAAACTTCTGAATTCAAGTTGACATATGGCGTGCGTGCACGATAAAAAGCCGAGTATATAAATGTATTTTACGAACAAATTCTGGTATTTTTAAAGCATCTTGTTCATCCAACTCTGTTGCAGTGAGTTCCAAGTATATTCTAATTCCTACCTCAAATGTTATTCCGGAATCTTTCTTTTCGGCAATTTCATTGAACAATTTTTCAGCAAACATTGGCACAATCCCTGAATATTTAAGTTTTTATCAAAAAATTAGAAGTTGTTCAACATTTTTTGCATACTTTATACCCCAGGTAGTAGATGAACCTAATTTAGAGTTGATAGGCTAGACAAAATATGAAGAAAGATAAAGTGGTTTTCTGAAGAAATCAAAATAATTCATTAATTGATAATTAAACGAAAAACGTCTGAAACGATTAACTAACGATTAACCATATTTTAAATTTAAACTTACAAAGTTAGAATTATCAAATGTTTTAAATCACATGTTTAAACTACGTGGCTTCTGAAACTCCCCTTTTCTTTCTAGCTGCCGCGAGAAGTTCTCTAAGGAAAGACGACTTTCATAGCCGCCACAGTAGTCCCCCCAGAAGGAACGGCGGAGGTACGGCGGAGCAGATCCTTCTATCCCTGGAAGACCTGTGAGGGTTCCGATGAACAGGTACAGATGGCGGAAGAACCTGGGGAACTAACTTGAACCTGACCTTCTTGGGTAATCTGGTGGCGGAGGAAGGCGGAGGAACTGAAGAAAAGGATTTTGGGTTCAGTCTGGGTCTTCCTCGAGTCGGAGGAACCGCAGGAGTCACCGGAGTATCACTGAAAACAGGCTTCAGACGATCTACTGAAACTACGTCCTGTTTTGAACCGATCTGGAGGCGGAAGTATTTGTCCTGTCTGTCTAATACCAAGTAAGGACCTCGATAACGTGGAGCCAAGGATGAAATAACTGCATCTTCACGAACAAACACATACTTAGCTGAGACAAGAGCTGTAGGTAGTTTAGCAGATGGAACAGGACGAACATGATGGGGCGGAGAAATGGCGAATCCTTCAATAGCTCTGTCAACTTTCCTGAGGAAGGCACCAGGGAGGAGTTCAGGGACGTCAACAAGTTCACCAGGTAGGGTCAGAGGAGAACCATACACAGCCTCGGAAACTGAGAGGCCAGTATCGAGTTGCTCTCAAACCCAAGAGAACTAGAGGTAGGTGAGAGAACCAATCGGAACCTGCTAACCTGGCTCGTAGAGAGGACTTGAGACTCCTGTGAAACCTTTCAACCATACCATTACTTTGAGGATGAAAAGAGGTCGTAGTAGAGGTTGAAATTCCTAAGGTAGAACAAACTCCAGTCCAGATTGAAGATGTGAATTGAGAACCTCTATCAGACGTGATAACTGCAGGAACTCCGAACCTTGAAATCCAGGTTGAGATTAGAGCATGAGCACAAGATTCAGCTGTGATGGAGGACAAAGGAACGGCCTCCGGCCATCTCGTAGTTCTGTCGATCATGGTGAAAAGATATGTAAAACCATGGCTTGATGGGAGAGGACCAACAAGATCCACATGAACGTGAGAAAATCTCCGGGTTGGTACTGGAATAGGAGAAATTGTAGAACGAACATGAGTTGAGATCTTGGATTTTTGGCATGAAATACACGATTTGGCCCACAAACCAACATCTCTGGACATCCCTGGCCAAACAAATCTTGATGAGATCAATCTCTTCGAAGCTCTGACACCAGGATGAGAAATACTGTGCAGCTGTATGAATAACTTGTGACGAAGCTGAAGAGGGACTAAGGGATGAAGTGAACCGGTTGAAATATCACACAAAATATTATTATTTCCAATGGAATGAGAAATCACTGTAAGAGATGGATTAACTTTCATTTCTTGCACGGATGAACACATAGTTTGAAACTTGGCTAAACTTGAACCATCCAAGTGGTATAACGAATTATCTCCGCCTGGAGCTGGGACCAAGGCGGATGTAGAGAGGGAACAAGGAGACACCTCCGACACCTCCGACACCTCCGACACCTCCGACACCTCCGACACCTCTGACACCTCCGACACCACCGAACCAGGAACAGGAAGGGCGTGAGTGTGGATAGACTTGGAGAAGGACTGGGATGGTTTGGGGTTAGGTTTCGGGTCGGAGCAAGGTTTAATTGGACCTGGAGAAATTGAAGATGAACCAGGTTTGGAGAAGGACTGGGATGGTTTGGAGTTAGGTTTTGGGTCAGAGCAAGGTTTAATTGGACCTGGAGAAATTGAAGATGAACCAGGGGTAAATCTTGGAGATGAGACAGGGGAAAGGCGGAGTATTTCTTCTCAGCATCAGAAAGTTTCTTAGAGAAGAAAGCCAGCGGAGCCCAAGATTTGTCACGTAGCTGCTGTTGAAGAACAGCTCCAATGTGAGTATCTGAGGCATCTACAGACAGAGATATTGCTGCTTTGGGTTGAGGGTGAACTAGTTCCGGAACAGCTGAGAGGAGTAGTTTGGCTCTGTTGAAAGCGGAGTTCATGAGTGGAGACCAAGAAATAGTTTTTCCAGGTCCTTTCAGAGCATCGGTGAGAGGAGCAAGCACCTGAGCTGCAGAACGGAGAAATTTCCTGTAAAAATTAACCATTCCAAGAAACCTCTGGAGGCTGGGCTTGTCTGAAGGTTGTGGAAAGGCGGAGATGGCGGCGGAGTGTTTCACCAAGGGAGAACATCCAGAGGAAGTGAGGCAGTGTCCCAGGAACTCGATTTCCGTCACAGCAAACTGACACTTAGGGAGACCAATAGTAAGACCATGTTCTCGACAGAGGAGTAAAACGTCCCGGAGGTGCTGAACATGAGAAGATAGATCTTTACTAAATACTAGAATATCGTCAACATAGACAAAACAGAAAGGAAGATCTCCAAGGATTTGATCCATCAAGCGTTGAAATGTGTTTCCAGCGTTACGTAATCCAAAAGGCATCCTCAGGAACTCGAACATCCTGAAGGGGGTGATGATGGCAGTCTTCTGGATGTCCATATTTTCGACAGGTACCTGATAATATCCCTTCTGAAGATCTAATTTGGAGAAAACAGTTGAACCACTAACTCGTGAGGAAAAATCGGCAATGTTGGGAAGTGGATAACGGTCAGGAACAGTGGCAGTGTTAAGACGGCGGTAATCGCCACAAGGTCTCCAACCTCCATCCTTCTTCTTGACCATGTGCAGTGAAGAGGCCCAAGGAGAAGTAGAACGGCAGACAATTCCAGACTTTTCCATGGCGGAGAATTCTGCTTTGGCTGCAGCAAGTTTAGCAGGATCCAGTCTGCGAGCTTTAGCAAAAATCGGCGGGCCAGGGTTGGTGAGAATGTGATGACGAACCTTATGACGTTGCGGAGAAGCAGTGAAACCATCGGATTGAAGTACATCAGGAAATTCTTCAAGGAGCTCTGACACGCACTTAGGAGTGGAGAGGAAAGCTGCTTGCATCGGCGCGGTTGAATCAACGGGAGAAGAGGATTAATCAATCTTAGAACCATTAGAATAGCTGTTGGAGAATACCTTTTTGCTCCTCAAGTTTACGCTCAAATCATGATGTTGAAGGAAATCTGCTCCAAGGATTGGAACAGAAACTGGAGCTAGTTGGAAAGTCCAGGAACAATTCCATGTTCCAAACCGTAAAGGAATAATTCTGGAACCAGAACAGGTTAAAGTTGACCCATCAGCTGTGAGTAACTAAACACCAGAAGTTGAAGATTAGCTTGTAGATGGAAAAACCAAGATTGAGGCCCCCGTGTCGACTAGAAAGCGACGGTTGGAGAGATCATCATGGAGATAGATGAGAGCAGAACTCGTTGAACCGGCAGGCAAGGAAGAAACATCCTCCTGCTAGGTTTTCGCTTACTGTGATAGCCTGTGGAGAAAACAGGGAGGCAGGTTCACTTTTCAGCCGAAAATAACACTAGCGAAAAAAAAACAGAAACACTAACTCAAAACACTGAGTTTTTATGTTATTTGAGTTTATATATGGAAAAATACAACGCGGTGGGTTGTTTTACTTGGACTTATAAATGTATTCAATACGTCGGGGTCACCAATTTGGCGGTGGGCAAATAAGACAAAGTATTTGAAACGATTAACTATATTTTAAATTTAAACTTACAAAGTTAGAATTATCAAATGTTTTAAATCACATGTTTAAACTACGTGGCTTCTGAAACTCCCCTTTTCTTTCTAGCTGCCGCGAGAAGTTCTCTAAGGAAAGACGACTTTCATAGCCGCCACATTAGAAATATTTTTAAAATTTTAGCAATATCTTTTTATGAAATAGTAATTACAAAATAGCCAATGATATAAAGAACTTTGTTTGTGAAATAAAACTATGTCTTATTCTTAACGAAATCGTTCATATTCCGGTTATTATGAATGCACAAAAAGGCAGACCACATTTTGAAACGTCAAAACTAGGGCTATTTTCTGATAATTGTTTTATAAAAAAAATATGACTAAAATTCAATTGACCAAATGAATGCCAGAAACTATTTCAATTACAGAGTATACAGTTTGTTTTACCTTTATTGACTCCGTAGCCGAATACTGACCAACTTTTCCCGCTGCCCGTCTGCCCGTAGGCAAATAGAGAAGAATTGAACCCTGCCCAGGCATTCTTCAGTATTCCTCCACCAAGGTCATGAAATACCTGAAATTTATCTTTATCGGTTTGGTTCGTTTTTGTTTACATTTAACTTTTAAAACTTTATTCTGTAAAAGTTTTCTATAACTTAAATTAACGATAACAAACATAAAAAAAAATTTTCAAATTTGTTAAACTTCTCAGATTGTTGTGGAACCATATAAAACCATATAAAACCGTATAAAACCATATAAAACCGTATACAACCATATTAAACCATATAAAACCATATAAACCATATAAAACCATATACAACCATATAAAACCATATAAAACCATATAAAACCATATAAAACCATATAAAACCATATAAAACCATATAAAACCATATAAAACCATATAAAACCATATAAAACCATATAAAACCATATAAAACCATATAAAACCATATAAAACCATATAAAACCATATAAAACCATATAAAACCATATAAAACCATATAAAACCATATAAAACCATATAAAACCATATAAAACCATATAAAACCATATAAAACCATATAAAACCATATAAAACCATATAAAACCATATAAAACCATATAAAACCATATAAAACCATATAAAACCATATAAAACCATATAAAACCATATAAAACCATATAAAACCATATAAAACCATATAAAACCATATAAAACCATATAAAACCATATAAAACCANTACATATTGTACCAGCTCGGATCATGCAAGTTTTAATACAATTAATAATTTTTTTCAATTTCATTAACTTAAACAATTTCTTTAATCATTTTAATGTTGGCATTTTTGGCGTGTACTTGGTATTGATCTTTAATCTAAGTTTTAAACTTGTTTTGGTTTCTTAAATATAAAGAATTCAATTAGATTAAAAATTAATCATTCATATGTTACAATTAATAAAGTTTGACCCTTTTTCGAATCATTAAAACTGTAGTTAATATTTCATAATATTTTTCTATTTTGTTATTAAATAATTTTTTCATTTAATTTTTCTAACAGTTCACGGAAAATATGAAAATTCTGTCTTTGTGTTCAAAATCATCGAAATTTCAGGAATGAAAATTCTCAAAATGAACACTCGGATAAAAAAAATAATATGAGATAGTGGAGAAATCACTTACCGCAGGATTAGTAATCATTGTCGTTTTATCCTTCATGTCGACAATCAGTGTCGCACTTCGTCCTGTCTCCCTCTTGTTAAAGGGTCGAACCCTCACCGCAACCTTTAGATTTTCTTCCTCTGCCATCCTAGAATAGTTGCAGAGTTAAAGGGAATCCTAGAATTGTTGCAGAGTTAAAGGGAATCCTAGAATAATTGCAGAGATAAAGGGAATCCTAGAATAGTTGCAGAATTAAAGGATATCCTAGAAGAGTTGCAGAGTTAAAGGGAATTCTAGAATAGTTGCAGAGTTAAAGGGAATGAGAGTTAAAGGGAATTTTGCAGATTTAAAGGGAATCTTGTAGAGTTAAAGGGAATGTCGACCTAATTTTAAGTGAACCTTTAGCGTGCTTAGCTGAAAGAATTTCTTGCCTAATTTACAACGGGGCCTTTTAAACATTTACCTGAGCTAAAACTATTAAATCATTCTTTTTCGTTTTTTGTTAAAAAAAAATAAAAATGGACGAATCTCAAATATACTGTCTATAAAATGGGGCTTACGATACAATTAATAACATTGAGGAACATCTTTTTAAGAAAGAAAAACTTCGATATCTTACTTATTATTGTTATTCTAGTTTCCACGTAAATGCAATATAATTCGCAAAACAAAGATTGTTATTTGTATTCAAAATCGTCGATGAGATTAAAATAAAAATAATTATGTCTATAATAATAATCCCAATAAACATGGGAGTTGAGAGACGACTTGAAAGTCGTCTTTGAATTCTGATATTTAAGGCATGGCAAAGAAAGTAAAAAAAACCGGTATCTTAAAAATTGACGAAGATAATGGATATTAGGACAAATTTGATTTATTAAATAAATTGAAATTTGTAAAAATTTTGCAATATCTCCATCAATTTTGAAGATACAAAAATGCTAGACCACATTTTAAAAATCTCAAGACCAGGCGTTTTCGGTTTTAGATGTTAAAGCTGAAATACTGCAAATGTGTTTATGAAAAAATGCCGCATTGATCGAAGACGATATAAAGGTCGTCACTTAATTTCCTATGTTTATTGGGACCCCCCCATGTATTGTGTATTAATAATGAAGATCTTACTTGGATAACTGTTTATCGAAGGTAAGTTATACACTGAACTGCTATTATTAAATTATTCTGAAAATATCAATATTTAACCTTCATACTCTATATATTCCCTTTCACAACCATGCTTTAATATTAATATATAAAGGACCCTAACATTGAACCTTGAGGTACACCACGGTTAAAAACGAGTCAAAACTTTTTTTTACTCAAACTAAATCTATGAAAAAAGGGTTAAATCAAATTGATGAATTAGAAATATGCTTTTACATATTTTTACATTGCACTGTAGTTAGCCCTTTAGTCTCTCTACCCTCCCAAGGGCACCGAGGTCCGTCTAACTGGGAAACGTCTCATGGTCAAGTTTACGCGGAGGTTGCAATTTACATTTTCTTCAATTATGGGTCTGGATGTTGCAACAATTAGTAATGAACAATGGTGATTTCATAATTTTTGAAAAAAAAACTAAATCTAAATTTTGTTAATTCATAATTCCCCATTTTTTTATGATTTTAACTGAAAGAAGATGCATTGCCTGGTAAAAACTTTTGTTTACTTTCCATGAATTAAAACCTTTTTCAAACCAAACTTTACAGAGGTTTTTAACCACAATAGAAACTCAAACTAATATTATTTAGAAAATCTAAAACAATTAAAGAATCAATGGTGAAATTTGTTTTTAGCAAACTAAAACTTTTTACCAGACTCCGTATAACAAACTAAATCTTTGTTTTGACCCACTTTCACTTGTCAGATTTTGATGAAATTTAGCTTTTTGGAAAGCCTATGACATAAGGAAACGGATTGCACAAGTTTTGCGAAAAAAAATTGCAATTTTTTGCAAACAACCTGTTAAAGGAAATTTGCACATTATTAGTTTTTGTTGATTAAAAATCAGGTTATTTAAAATTTTGCAAAAATTTTTGCATATGTGAAATGGCATGGTCAAGGGCTTTTCAAAAATGTATATTTTTTAATTTTTTGGACAAATTTTTTTTGTAAACATTTTTACTATATAACTGGATTTTGCGATAAAATATTTGATTTTGGCAAATTTGCAAATTTTTTTGCAGATTGGAAAAGTAGAGCAGAAGAGCTTTCCAATGATGTATCATTTGTCATATTTGGACATTAAACATGAGATTTAGAGGGGAGGGGGGGTCAAATTGACCCCCCCCCGCATATCCTGGTTTTCAAGTACCCTAGCAGGGATAGGGTTAATTGTTGCTGAAAAGTTAAAACACAAAATTATCAGAAAAAATAAATAATTAATCAAAAAAAAAATTTGAAATTATATAATTTTCACGCTGAAGACTTTTTTGGATATAAGTTAAAAAAAAGTATAAATGGTTAATTAAATTAATGAATTTAAATTTCTCAAAGTTCAAAGCAATTTCTTTAACCCATAAATTAAAGAGCTCCGTTAGGATTCATTATGTTACCTATATATATATATCTTTTACATTTGAAGATATCTTTTCTCTCTAAAAACGAATTCGTCAATCTAAACTTCTCAAAACGAAATTTTGAATTAAGCAACTGGTAAAACCAAATAGATTCTAGTACAATAGATGACAACGTAGAATTTTTACAGTTGTATTCTTACGTCACAAGTGTCAACTCAGTTTTTGTGTCCGAAAAAATTATTAATTATTGCGATAATTTTATAATAAAGTGCTTATCTTACAGTAAAATAAGTGCAATTTAATGTGTTCTTTTTTTGTGTTCATGCTCTCTGTTGCCACCTATTGTACTTGATAATCTATTTGGTGTATGTTATTATGTAAATTATTTAGATATCCTTGTTTTAAATGAATGTTTGTATATGTTTATGTAAATTATATAAATATCTTTGTTTCAAATGAATGTGTGTATGTGTTTATGTAAAATATGTGAAAATTTATTATTATTATAGAAGTTATATAAAAACCTTATTGTCGATATATTGCAGCTGCTCAAATCATGCAAATAAATCAAAATAATAAGAATTAAAAGTAGAATAACGTCAATTAAAGTTATGATATCTGTCATTTTCTCAATCAAAAATAAGGTTTACGGTTCGTTGCCTTATTAACAAAATGGTACTCTTGATTACAACGCTGTTTTTGCTTGAAAAATGAAACAAAAATATGTTTTAAAGGATAACTGTTTGTTGATAAATTCCTTACATATTGAGATAATGCCTAACTTTAAAACTTTAAGAAACAAATTGACTTTTAGAAATGAGTTAAATCTTTTTTCAAATAGTCTTAAATTTATATTTTCGGAATTGTAATTTATTATTTTATTCATATAAATGGTATTTTATATTGAAGCAAAATAGTTATTTAGTTTTTTTTAAAATGATTTTTACTTTCATTACTAGTATGTCATAAATTACAAATTCGTATTTTAGACTAAATGAAACAACAAAGACGACACTTATTTCACTTTTTATTAGTTGGATCAGTTTATACTATTTAACCTTAGATAAACCACAGCAAATGTACATTGATAATTCAGTATTTAGAAAATCGAATACTTTAGGTTAAACGATTTTTACTGAATTTGTCCAACTTTTCTTCCACTGAGAACTAATTTGATTTTTGTAGAAGAAATTTATAGACAGGTAATAATAGAACCAATGAGAGCTGGTGGTCCCAGGTAGCCATGGTTAACAAGGTTGAATCACAAAAATTAGGAACGAAAAAGTTTCAAAATAATATTTATTATGTTGACCCGGGAGAGGGAGAGAAGCCAACCTTCCCCGCACAGCTTCCCAACCTTTTTGCGGAAGTGCGCGTCCCCACAGGGCTTCCGAACCTTTCCCAAACGTTCTTCCGGGAATGATCTTCTGTTTTTAGTCGTAAATTTCTACTTAAAACAGTCCTATAATTGGTTTAATCAAGCACAGTAGTCAAGCTATAGTATCCTTAACATTTTAAAGATATTTTTCTTTCTTTTTTACAATCAAAGTTTGGGCTGGAAAAACGAAAACGTTGAAGATTTTGTTTGATAACGCTTTTCTAAAATCTTTCTCGATCCCCTTTGTATAAATTTACGCCTGTGAATGGCTAGGTTTTCTTTAGTCTAGGCTCTGAATGGTCTAAGCAAAAAAAATTTATGTAAAGATAGTTATTTCAGATGTGTACGCATTTTTTGTGCTGCCATGTGACTCAGGGTTGTAAAGTAAACACAAGTCGGATGTTACAGCCAGATATGGGATCCATCTTTCACATGAAAATCAATAAAATATTCTGGTCATAGAACTATTATGTGAAATATCAAAATTTTCAAAATAAAATGCTTTTATCATCTCGTTTACTAGATGCATCTATTCTTTTTTACAAATACCGCCTGGAGAGAACTGGTTTCAATATGTACACAGAGAATACGCAACTGCAATAAACTTTCCTTGCCTTATTACCTTGGGTCTAAGAATCTGTTATGTCATAACCAAATTGTGTTTGCAGACGAAAAGCTTAGTAATTTATTACGCTGAACTAATCATTCACGCAAAAATAGTTATTCACGCTGAACCGGTTATTCATGCTGAACCAGTTATTCACGCTGAACCAGCTATTAAAAGCTGTGCAAAAAATGTTTTCCCTCAATTGCTAAGAGTGTTTTAACAGCATGGATTAATAAAACTTTCAAAACAATTTCATAAAACCACTCTGGCGTGGTTTCAGCTCTAAAAAGTGTTAACACACATGTCTATTTATTTGTCATAAATAACTAAACAAAACAAAACAAATATTAAGTATCTACAGAAGCAATTACTCAAAATATTGAATACTTATAGAAAGAAAAAACTATGAAATATTGCTTAACAAAACATTTATGAGTGAAAATTGTTGAAAAAGTGATAAAAAATCACGGTTACAAATATGAAAAAATTACTTAAAGTTTACGAGTACCAACAATTATGATCAATCATCAAGGTACAAAGGTTTAAATTGGGAAGAATTAGTTTTCCATAATTAATCACAAAATATTACTGGAAGATAGTATAACTAGGAATATCTCAAGTACTGGCTATCAGAACAATTAGTAGACTAGTAGACTAGTAGACTAGTAGACTAGTAGACTAGTAGAGTAGTAGACTAGTAGACTAGTAGAGCAATAGACTAGTAGACTAGCAGAGCAATATACTATTAGACTAGCAGAGCAATAGACTCATCGACTAGCAGAGCAATAGAGTAGTAGACTAGCAGAGCAATAAACTAGTAGACTAGCAGAGCAATTGACTAGTAGACAAGCAGAGCAATAGACTAGTAAACTAGCAGAGCAATAGACTAGTAGGCTAGCAGAGCAATAGACTAGTAGACTAGCAGAGCAATAGACTAGTAGGCTAGTAGACTAGAAGAGCAATAGACTAGTAGACTAGCAGAGTACTAGACTAGTAGACTAGCAGAGCAATAGACTAGTAGGCTAGTAGAATAGTAGCCTAGTAGGCTAGCAGAGAAATAGGCTAGTAGGCTAGTAGAATAGTAGCTAAAAGAATAGTAGACTAGTAAACCTTGAGCCAATCAACTATAGTTTCGTAATGGTTTTCCATCCACTGTATGTTTACCCTGAAATAAGATAATATTATAACGTTTTTACATTTTTATAAGTACGTTCATATTTACTTTATATTTTATATATTCAATATAAGCAATAAAAAGAATTTTTACAATTTCGCCTTTAAAATAATTTTATTGTTATTACTGCTGCTAATTTGATGAAAATGATGTGAAATATATTTCTCAGTTAAACTCACAAGAGCAATAAAACGAAAAGGTAAAGCTTACTTAGGTGTACACAACCGACCTCCCTATTAATTAATTAATAGAGTGGTCGGTTGTGTAAATCACGATATGTTTACGTATCTAACACTGTACACTTGTATAGAGTCTAAATTTACAAAACTGCGTTTTCCGTTTCACCCCAACAACCCTGCCTTGCCGGTAGGGATGGGCTATAGCCAGATTCGTTTTACAGACATTTTTTATGTTTTTAGACTTTTAAAAGGTTTCAACATTTTAAAACTTTATTCTGTAGAAGTTTGCTTTTATTAAACATGCCAATTTGTTGCCCTAGAAGAAAATATAAGGCAAAAACGTTAGCTTTTGGTCAATTTTTGCCTTATATTTCACCTAGGATAACAAATGTGCATGTTAGATAATAGCAAACTTCTATAGAATACAATTTTAAATCGTTGGACTATTGCTCATCGATCTCGCTGCTTCACTCCTTTCAAGATTTTAATAGAGCAAGCTGACCTTGTTCCTTCAATCATCTGGTTTGCGGTCATCTGAGCAGTTCCTAGATTCTCCTCATTCTCCAATATAAACTGTTCCAGTTCCTTCAGGTCCGATTCAGTATTGAAATCATTTGCCACAGCCTTAACAGTGAACAATATAAAAATAAAAAAAACAATTTGAAAACAATTTATTAGAAATAAGTATAGATGGATTTCTTGCCATATCAAATCAAGGAGAAAATTGTTAAAAACGACTCATGCCACCATACAAATTAAGAAAGTTGCAAGATTTAACTTGGATCGTAAAATAATCAATTTAATTCCAAACCAATCATTTAGGTATTACAAACATCAGTCATCGATTATTTTCAATAATATAATTGATTTTGTTTTTTAAAATAATGTTTCGCTGGCGCTGGATTTTCGAACATTCCTGGAAAATGTGAAAATGTCGACCTCATTATTAAAAATCCTCGAAACAGGAATAAATGTTTTTAAAAGTAACTATCAGATCATAAAAAATAAAACGCTACGTTCTTCAGTATGAGTCGTTTTTAACATTTTTCTTCTTATAGACGCAACAGGTAGAAGTAAGATTAGTAGCGATCAAAAGCGATTATTTCTTTTTCGCTAACACTCCCTTTAACATAAAATATACTTTAATTTTACGTCTTTATGGCGGACACCAACATTTAAAAGGGACTGGAAGTGTAATTTTAAGAGACACTTCATACATTTTTATAACAATTCATAACGGTACTCGGCCCCTTGAGTCCTTTTTATCTAATCTGCAGTTTGAAAATAATCAGTTTTTATGATTATAAACATGCATATTTAACTCATACTTGATCAGACAAACATATTAAGAGAACCGATGTAAATCTGACATTGTCATCTTTGTATAGAGGGTCACCTTAAACTACGATAACAGTTCCTTTAATGATTAAAATGCAAACAATTAATTAAAATATAGAATAATGTTGGTTTCTAACCTCGATCATCCTGCTGGTGAATGAGATGACTCCGGTATCGTAGAGATCATGAATAGTATTCCAGTTATTCCTAATCCAGTGCCAGGCGATATATCGTCCAATAGTATTCTGTGCAACTGATGTTATTACTCGGTACCCATCTTGTCTCTTTATTCCTAGATTAATATTCTGGAAAATAAAGCTCTTCGCTCATATATATTTATATATTTTAACATATATATTATTACTGGTAACTAACAATTTGGTATCTAACAATTTGGTAACTAACAATTTGGTAACTAACATTTTGGTAACTAACAATTTGGTAACTGGACAATTTGGTAGCCAACAATTTGGTAACCAACAATTTGGTAACCTGACAATTTGGTAACCTGACAATTTGGTAACTTGGCAATTTGGTAACCTGACAATTTGGATACGGAAAATGTTGTCTCCTAAGTAATGGACAGTGAAAATCGGTAAATATTGTCGCTAACCCCTACACTTGCCTCTATAATCAGGACTTTATTTATTGATTTCACTCTGTTATTAAGGAGACGACATTTTCCGTACATTGGAGCGCATCCAGAGTAAGAAATATTAATAAACAAGCTTGTTTCAACCAAAGTCAAAGAAAATTTATAACACACAAAGAAATATCGTATAAACTTATTAAAAATTTTAGCACAAAAAATATTTTTTGCATGTTAAAAGCGAAAAACTATTATTTATTACAGATGTGAGCCCTCATCTATCTTTTAAATATAAGGCCAACTTACAAAGAACGGCTTGGGCAAATTTTCTACTCAAAATTCTGAAGGAAAATCGAACACAGTGATCCAAATGATGGAAGCTGTCACAAAAAAATCGATTATAATTTTGCCAATTACTTCTAAAAAACAAAGCTAATAACAAGCTCGTTTATAGCTCTAAAAAAATACATCAAGGGCTTCAAAAAGTATTATTGATTTATTTAGGCAAATCACGGGCCAAGGTAATGCAACATTTCAAAGTTGACCCGGTCTTGATAATTGATGCAACTTTTCATCAAGAACATAAAAGAGATATAAAAAATGAAGAGTAAAAAGTCCCAAAAAAAAAGAATAAAATGAAAAGAAAAGAGTAAAAAGATCCAAAAAAAAGAAAAAGAAAAAGAAGAAAAAAAAGAAACCTCTGTTTGTCCTTAACAATTAGTTTCTCAATAATGTACTGTCACAAAGGAAAACGGTGAACAGGGTTGGACTAGGAAATGATAGGAAGAAGTAAAAACGGGGAGGGAAGGGGGGGGGGGTTGAAATGAAAACAGATCTGAACAAACGGTAGAAGTAGATGGAAACTCTGAGAGGGAGCAGATGAAAAGATACATCTTTACTCAGTTTGTCTGGGAAAAAATAGAAATGAACAACTAAACATAATAGAAATATTATACTTTGGAGTTTTGTCAATAATAGGAGAAGTTGAAAAGCCTATCCGTCTATATTTAACCTAATAAAAATTCTTCAAGTAAAATAAACTATTCACCTGAATTATCGTCTAAAGCCATTTCTAAATATCTTTCTAAAATCCAATCTTCCTTGACACAACCCAGCGCACTAAAACAAGAAGAACGAAACATTTCTCATTTTAAGGAAAATTTAAAATACATAAATATACCTTTATTTCATTATTTTTAAAATTATTATCATTATCATTATTACTATTATTATTATTAAATTTTCCTGACCATGTTGGATACATTAGACATTGTGTTAATTTCATTTACTTATTTTTCCCTCCGTTATTTTTATATCCCCAGTCCTAGGTCTAGATTTCATTGGAATAATGGTTGACCTGATTATTGTAATTATAATTATTAATATTACTATTATTAAGACTACTATCATAGTATTATTATCATTATTATTATTTTTGTTATCCTCAATTATTTATAATATTTCTTAATGATAAATATAAAAATCCTACCTAATCATTGTATTCTTCTCATTAGCATTGTTTGAATTGACGAATCTTTGAAACAAGAAATCCCATTCTGTTTCAGAACCTTTCTCAATAGCAGTGCACATCACTGTCTGCCTATCGTTTATACAGTGATAACCAGAAAACTCTGGAATAGGAAGTCGAATTTTAGACTCAATTTATGACTTTAAATATTCCAGAGAACATGAGGCACAATAATTGTGGAGTGTAAACAGACCCATTTCATGTAATAAGTGATTTAATAACACACTAGTTAAGGTATTTGCTTTGTAACAACATCAAATGCACTTTAGTTTTGCTTTAATGTCGTCTTCATAGTCCACAGTTTTCTGGTTATCACTGTACGATACACTCATTTGATAATATATAGTATTTTTATACTTTATTGTCGACAGACGGATTTCAATTGAGAAGTAATTAAAAAATATTCTCTGTAAATAAACGATTTTTGAATTACAGACGCAACACGCGATTGGATTCAAATTGAGGAAAAGAAACGGATCTAACCTTGGTTAGTCAAGAGTGGTACGAAAAATGTATAAAGCATGAACTCAAAAAATAAATTAAAGAGAAAGCTTTGATAAAAAGGTTCAAACTCCATTTTTACACTGTTTCCAAGATCTAAAAATGTGTCAATTAAGCAATTGAAGTCTATTTACTGGAATGAAAAAACTGCCTTTTTGCCAGTTTTGTTTAATCTTTTCATTTTAGTTATATGCTGAAAACCCAATGTAAATCATGATATATAGGCCACAAGAAGGATGTTTACAATTTGATAAAAATCTTATTAGATGATGTTAAATTTTGTACAAGTGCGAAGAATGAAGAATGTAGAATGTTACCTGGAGAAAGATGGGACTGGGTTCCCTGCATCTGGAGTTTCTGAAAGCATCCATGCTTTAAATATATCCAGGCTTCTCTGAGTACAATCCTCCTGTCCTATTTGGCACATCCATTCAACAACATAAGCTCTATAAATCAGGCAGTTTATTTCTTCCTTTCAAATCTAAAAAGGCTTGGGGGGGGGGGGGG